CTAAATAGTTCTAAGTTCGTAACAGTATACATCTATTTATAATTAAATTTTATTGTTTTATTTACCTTTGAACCATGTATAAATACTATCCGTGCCATTATAAGTTGTAAATCACTCTGGGAATGTGCAGCTCACATTATGCTATCGAATTACATTACCCACGAGCTGCTCACTTGCATGCCTTGTAAAACATTTTTATTATAATATTATTCATTTTACCTAATCTAATCTTAAAAACCTAAAAGGATCCCTATTTTTACATTTTAGTTATTTGTATAATAATAAATAAAGAGTAAACATAAAAAAGAAGAAATAAAATACGTGACCAATCTTCTTTTTTCTTGCTGTTGGACTTTTGAGGAGAGTTAACCCTAATTTTTTATACTAAAGATAGTAATGCACTTAATTTTTATTTAATTAAATAATGCACCAAAGAATATAGACTAATAACATGCAAAAAGTAGACAAATTCACTTACCTTTCAAAATTTTTCTGCCTTTCTAACTATGCGACAAAAGCCGTTACAAATTCATCCAAGCTAGTCATTAACTTTCTCATGGGAATGATGTTGGTACTCTGAGTGAAATTAATATTTAACTGATCAGAACATAATGTTATACAATACGACATTTGATAGATGAAAACTTTGACTTTCTATTAGTTATAGGTAATATATAATGAAATGTAAGAAAGAACTATCAACAAATTCTGAAAGAGAGGATGTGGTAGGAGGGGGTTTTGATTATCTATTCGACTGCTCTGTCACCAAACAAAGTTGAAGGCTATAAAAATTTTGGTTTGTCTGAGCACTAACGATTTTATAGAGAGTAATTTATGTTTAATTTCGTACTGTTTTTTAGGGGTGGTGGATAAAATAGGGATGTTTACATGCTAAGAGAAAATGTGTCACGTGGGAAACACTAGTTGAAATTCAGGATTTTTAAAAATATTGTCTTGTAGAATTAAGAACTTAAAACTTGTATGCTATTAAAATATGGATTACTAGCTAAGATATTATGCTATTCTAATTGGTATAACATAAACAAAAAGTAGTTTAATAAAATTTTGAATGCAAGACACTAAAACCTTGTGGCATGAGCAGTAAATGATACCTGTGGCAATAGGGTTAATTCATTATTGTTTTATAGTGCTGATTCAATTGCCTATAAACAATTAATGTAATCAATAGTTTGAAATAAAACTTTCTGATTAACAATTTAAAAAAAAAAAGTTGGCTTGCTTATAATTTTAATGCAGTAAAAAAAAAAAAAATTTATGCCAGTGACCATAAACAAAGTGAAACTGTGTGGTGTTTTTCAAATCAAAAAAAAGATAAAATTCACAGTTTCATAATATACAAACTTTGTTGTAGATTTTAATTATTTATTTCTTCAAACACTTTCTTATAAAGGTAAAAAAACACCAAAATTAAATCCTTTTAAGTATTCAAAGCTGCATATCCATACAAATATCACATATAAAAATGATATAATTTATTTCCAGAAACTACTTAATTTTTATAAAGTTCAATTCAAGTTTAAACTTTCATTAATTATTTTCTTTTTGCAATGCAATAAAACAAATTGATATTTAGTTAGTAAAGAATTAAACTTCTTTAAGTTGGTATTCCCTTAAGAGTTACAATGTTTCTAGTTATTTAAATCTATAGAGAGTATCTGAGAATAAGTCACTTACAGCACCAGTAAGCATATCATACATTAAAGCACCAAGACTCCACCAGTCTACTGCCTTAGCATGCCCACTTCTCATCAAGATCTCGGGTGCCCTGAGATTGATAAAAAAACACAAAAGTTACTTGAAAGCCATAGAGTACAGCTGTGTCTGGTAAACATAAAGTGAAGGAACAGGGAGAACCTTTATCTAAGACATCCCATATAAAAATAAAGTTTGGAGGAGCAAAATATGAGGTTTTTCATTTTTATTACTAGTAAAGTATAATTTACCACAACCTCTCATCAAAGAAGTTAAAGCCTAAACTGGAATTTAAGATAGTTATAATTTTTAAGGTTTAACACAAAATCATAATGGCCCCTAGATACACTGTTAATGGCAACTACAGAGCTCATAGTTACATAATAATAATAATCTTATGCTAAATAAAAATAACCTTAAGTTACATATAATCAATGGTATCAAGGTTAACTAACAAAAAGCAAAAGTGAAGTGAAGAATATGAAAATAATCTAATGTTAGAAAACACAAACTTACATATATTCAATGGTTCCACAAAAAGTGTGTGTTATGACACCATCTTGAATAGATTCTTTACATAAACCAAAGTCTGTTAACTTGACATGACCTGAAAAAGACAGAAATATTTAAGATGTCATATTAGTTAAACAAAATTAAAAACATCATAATTAAAAGAAAGTGATATTAGAAAAATGTTGATAATAATTAATTATTTTTCCCAACCATGTTTTACCTCTACTTGCAACTGAATTGTTACAATACGTTTTCATCAGTTAATGAATCTCGTCAAACTCATAATATGCTACAGATAATCAGTAAATGAAACACACAGACTGTGAGTAATTTTACCTTGGGCATCTAACAGAATGTTCTCAGGTTTCAAGTCTCGATAGATAATTCCTTCCATGTGTAGATGTTCTAAGGCTAGAAGAATTTCTGAGAGGTAGAAGCTGTAGATATACAAAATGTCATTTAAAATTGGTAGGCTAGTATTACAAATTATTTATGAAAGATAAATTCATCAGCCAGAAAGTATATTTATTATAGAGAAACTTCAGGATGGTCTTTCACATATTTAAACACAAAGTCTAAATAATGGTTATTTGAAATAACATAATATACTCTTCATATTTTTAATATTTAGTTTTGTTTTTTTACAATTGTCTAATGTTGTTATGTTACTTTTCTCCTCAAAATGCCAAACACAACTAAACCAGCTTGAAATGAATGGCTGTAAAATTAACTCATTATTATATCTTATTTTCCCAGTATGTCAAAGATGGGTGTAATTCACTGAATTTTTTTATATTTAATGTCATAATGGAAATGGTAGGATTAGCTCTGTTCAACCTAAGCAAAAACAACTTCAAACATAAATAACATCAAATTTTATGTATATTGGTTTTTATTTGTTTGTTGAATTCCACGCAAAGCTACTCAAAGGTTATGTAAGCTAGCCATCCTTAATTTAAAAGTTATAGATAAGAAAGAAGACAGCTAGTATCACAAACCACCAATAACTCTTGAGCTACTTTAATCGAGTAATTGGAATGACCATCACATCATAATACCCCCATAGCTTAAAGGACAAGCATGTTCAGTGACGGAAGTAAAACCCATGACCCATACATTGCGAGTCAAGTGCCTTAACCACCAGGCCATGTCATGCCTTTTTATATATTTTCAAATGCATTTACTTACCAGATAAATCACAAATAGGGTTTTCTCCCAGTTTTTCCCACAACTGGGAAAGAACCAGTTTTTAAATCAAAATTCAAAACATCAGAAACCAGGAAATTAACTCTGAGAAACTAGAAAATAATTACATAATTAACATAAAACATTTAAGTGTATTATGTATTAATATCCATGTCTCTTATCGATAACCGATGCACTACGGCAGGAGGTACTACCCTTACTGTCATCAATGATTGTTTTGTGAGTTTGAGATGTCATAAGTATAGTGCATGTTGGCTGGTCAGTGATTCACACCATGTGCTTCATATATATATATATATATATATATTATCATACAATTAGCAAATTACCAATAGAACTTGCTGATGAATGTGGCCACTTTGCACCTTGGAGGTTGCTCGGGTAATATTAACATAGTTTCTGCACATGATAAGTTATGGAGTTAAATGGCAATAATAACAACTACATCCAGGGGAATGTTGCAAAGTTTATACCCATATTATGTTAATATGAAATTTCATTACCTTGAAATCTAGAGCTTTGATTATAAAACAGCAGAGGAATCTGTTGATTAATATAGTATTTATTAATTAGTATTTTTTTTTAATTGTGGAGAAAATTCTAATTTCAGTGACCCACTGCTAGGAAATGCTCTTCAAAAAAAGACCCATTTTGGTGAAGCAAATGCGGTAGCCTCATAAATTTAAGTACCACCTCCATAAGGCTTAGCACAAGGCTCACACAGACCTTACATCAGTTTATAAATCATCATGGCCACCACGAAAACAAAGTCATTTTCTGCTTAGAAGAATTTTGTGAAGGAAAGTAATGAGAAGGATAGGTACAAGGAATGTTCTGTAGTAATAAGCATCAAGTGTGGTAGCACTAGTGGACTTGTGAAACATCTGAATCTCAATTTCGTCAAAGGTGAAACAACTAAAACAAGACCAGCAGATAGTGCAGAGGCATCCTCTCAGTCCTCTGCAAAGCAGCAAGCTAATTCAAAAGAATCAAGAAACTTCGATGTCAGGAATTTTTATTTTCATTTTCTTTAGCTTTCCCCGATTATCAATTATTGTTAGTACTATCCAATGTTACCATATTGGTACTAGTTGGTAATATTTTTATGATAACCATAAAAATAGAGGTATATACTGGATATTGAATATAATAATTATTGTTAATATTATTGTCACAACTCACAAGTAGTTATGAACTTATAAATATGAGTGAGGTAGCTAATGTTTTCTCTATTTCTACATTTTAATTTAACACTAATATTAATTTAGCATTCACTTAATTAGTGATGTAATTTTTTAATATTTGTTTCACTCTACTCATTTACCCATTTTAAAGGTAAATAAACCATCAGGTGTCAGCCAACCTTGATAACATTATTATACTTTCACTTTTTGACTATTGTCTGTTCTATCTCAACAAATGTGTGAATACAATTATATTTCAAGGTAACAAATTATCAATGTTACATTATAGGATTTCTGAAGAGAGAGAGCCTGCCTGAGATTATAGCAAAATTAGCAGCAATGGATTGTTTTTCAATCAACACCTTCTGTAAAAGTGAATACATCCTAAGGTTGATTATGTGAGATGGATACCATCTACCAAGAGGACCAGATGAAATGATGGATCTAATTAGCTCTCAGGCAGATCTGATACGCAATGAGATGAAGAATGAATTCATAATTGAAATATTTGATGGTGACAGGTACTCAATGATCTTGGATGAGTGGATCAGTATCTCAAATAAAAAAAATATCTGAATCTCAACCTTCACAGCCAGAACCAGTAGATTCCATAATCTTGGCCTTGTCCGAATTACTGGTGGTACTTTCTGAAAGAACTCGAACCACCATGACTGAGAGACTAAGTTCCTCTGGCTTGTCAATTGAAAAATATATCATACATGCCATTGCTGATGGATCATCAGTTGGGATTAAATTTGAGAAATTGTCACAGACGGAGTTTCAAACATGTTACAGTCATAGAGTCTATTTAGCTGGATGTGATGATATGTACAAGAAGAAGCAAAGTTCATATTTCTTGAACAATACCAATGGTTAAAAAAGTTTATCCACCAGGACCAGATGCTAAGAAGGATACAGTTGATCATGGTGAAGAAGATTATGTCCAAGATCCAGAAGTTATCATTGAGGAAGACCATGCAACAGAGTTAAGCATAGAACTATCTGAACTCATTGAGAAAGTAAGGAAAGAAGTTTAAAGCCAATGCAAAGTTTAAGGTCAGTATGTGAGACAACAACATAACAATGAGTTCAAGACAAAACTCGACATGAAAGTCAGGTGGAATGCAATAAATCGATGCTCTCACGATATGTTCAGCTATGACCATGCCTCTGCAAAGCATATGCAGAATTAAAGATTAAGTCTGAGATCTCAGAGGAAGGGTTTGAATATGTGAAGAGTGTTGTGAAAACCCTAGAGCCTGTAAAGCTTGCATATGAAACCCTTTGTCAGAATGATGCTACCCTTATTTTGGCTGAGGGAGCACTGTCTTTCTTTTCAACCAGCTTGAGAAACAGGGATCTAACTTCAGCTTGAAAATGAGTGAGAAACTGAGAGAAAGGGTTGAAGCTAGGAGGAATAAGATGCTACTATCCCTTCTGCTCTACCTACACAATCCCCAGTCATTCTCTACTCTGCAAACAGATCACTTCGTTTAGATAACATTAAAGTCTGCAATCCAAAAACTCCCAAACAGTTTTCTGCAGAAAGTAGAGAAAATAGATCAGGAAGATAGGGATGTCAAATAATAAGTAAGGGAAGGAGAAGAGGTTTCTGACAGTCCCCATGAAGAGAAAAGTCTAGCAACAAAACTGCATGAGTGCATTGATTAATTTCTGACTGGCACAGATAAATTTGAAGATGAATTCAAGGTTATCAACACAGAATTCAAGATTTTCAAGTTAACTTTAAAAGAATGCCAAGCACAGACTTTCTCTACCATGTATTACTGACCATTCCTCAATTGTCAGTGGAGGCACAGCGATGCTTCTCTGCTGTAGGAAACTTTACAACAAAGACTTGATCAAGATTAGGAGACAAATCCAACAATATCCTAATTTTCCTCAGGAAATACTACGAATCAATAAAACCAATGACTTAGAATGATCATGGACACTCCCATATATAGACATAAATATAATAAACTAAATAGAGATATAGCTGTAAAAACAGTTGACTTTTTTTTTGTTTCTACATTATGAACTTACAAATTTTATGATAGTTTACATAATTACATATTTTTCAGAGTCCTTATAGTCTGCACTCTGAAACCACTATTCAGAGGATAATTGTTCTTACTAAATTTAAATTTTAACTTTTTAAGCTTAATGCAAAAAATATTTTCTGTGTAAATAAAACATACACAGAGTCACAGACCTATTTTATCATATAATGAAGGATAAATTCAGTATCTAAAAAATTTATGTCTTTTCTATTTATTTTTATATCCAAATCATCATACAATAAATTAATGATCATGTCAGACTAATGTAGTAACGAGTGATTCAGTTATGTTTTACAATAATAATTTTTCAAAGTAGTTGCTAGTAGGTAATTTTTCTTTCCTAAGACTTAAAACACTTCTGTCTAAACAAAAGTAATTCTTCCTGATGTTTAGTACCTATCTGGCTGATTAGTAAAGAGTAGGAAACATTCCAATGAAAATAGATTTGATCAAACTGGGAATCCTGGTTCTAGCAATAGAAATTTCCAGATTTCCAGTTCTCACAAAATCTTAGAATATGAAAAAAACCTAATCACAAGCTGTGAAGAATCATAAATATTTGATAAAAATACTCAGATACTGTTATGTTTTAAACTACTTCACCTATGATATAAAGAAATTAAGTTACATTTACTATGTAATGGTGTTAATAATCTGGGTCAATGTTTACTTATAAATCCATATTTGTACTTTTTAATTGTATTGTTGACTGAATATTTAACTGCTACATGTATTGTTGGTGAAGCCTGAATCTCCTCTATCTAAATTTACATAATTTCCCTTTCCAGTTATTGACCTATCCTAGTGAATAAAGGCTAATGTAACTCAATCTTGCAGTATCTAGCTAATCATGGTATGGATTTTGTTACCTAATGTGAACTATATTTCATACTTTCTTGTTCAGAATTTTATATCTTACAAAAAAAAATAACTTGAAATTAAGGAGAATAATTATTATGGCAAAATATTATATGTCAGATATACAAGTTAAAAGACAGGACATTTTACAAAATTAAACATTATAAAACTTTATGAAATCTTAAGTTTAACTTGCTCATCACAACTTTTTATGATAATATTTAAAATAAATTTTAATTGTATAACCAACTTAATTCATTCATTCCAACTGACTATACTGAAAGACTTTTGAGGGCAAACAGGAATACTGCTACCAATTAAATCCTTAAAACACTTAACACAACAAAAAACTTGTTCTGTTGTTATTGATTAGGGGTGTATTTCTTAGAACAAGTAATGATCCTTTTGTATCTTTGCAAACCAATTAATTATTTCATATCAAGTCTAAATTAGACTTGTATGACAAGAATGGGTTGCTTAATATCTTTTGACAATAACACTCTAGAAAAGCTATTATTTCAATAGGTTATATCTTTTCAAAACTATATCACCCAAAAAACTATATTGTCCCATCAACTGATTCAACAAAAATGTTTAACTAAAATCTATTACTAGTCTCACCTTGCTGTATCTTCTAAAAATATTCCTTCTCTCTCAAGATGCATGAACAACTCTCCCCCACTGAGATATTCTAAGATTAAGTACAACTTGCCTCCCGTTTGAAAGGCATATATTAAGTCAACAATGAAAGGATGCTGAAATAGATACAAATATGTAAACATTATTCCACTTCTCTAGCTTAATATGTTTAAATTAATTATCACCATTTCTGTTTCAAAATGATTCAATAATCAAGAAAAATAGTAATCTCTTCTTTGTACAGTACAACATTTCAGGTTTACTATTTTTGTATGCTTAATAACAATATAACAGAACATAAACTATTTAAAAATATTACACACTGAAAAGAAAATCATTAACTAAACTGGATACTCAAAAAGAGAGCATACGTGCATATACAGAATGCATAAAATCATACACAAAGTATAAATATTTTTAGAAACTGAAAGAAGTATAATACTTTATATTTAATCAATTAAATGATATAATCACTTACCCATGAGTGATTACACTGATTAGTGTCAAGTAAACTTGTCTAATAATCAAAATTATGATTAGACTGATTAATGTCATGAAAATAATCAACTAACCAATACGTTTTAGATTACAACTGTTTTCAATTGTTCTAACAACAAATTAATCAAAATTCTAATTATACTATCATAAAAATAATTATTTCAATTTCTGGTTATTCCAACAATTGATTAATTAAAATCATTACTAAATGGACTGTAAATAAAACTGTCAACAAATCAATATTAGGGTTTCCAATTATTACTATCTTCTATTATTATTCCAACTATCCAAGTAGTCAAAATATTGCACAAAGCAACACAGTAGGCTCGGCACACAAAACTTTAGTAATTTGTTTTACACAAAGTTACACACACCTGTAGTCCATATAACAGAAACTTCTTACAAAATCAATTTTTCCACTTTCAAATTATCATGAGAAAGGTGTATTGCTACTGTCTAAAATAAGTGAAAATGCAAGCAGTATGACTACATAAGTAAAAACTTCAAGATGTTTTGAGAAAAGGCATCCTGTTTACAATTGCTATTTTTTTTCTAACTACGAATGATTACAAATAGTTATTACTATTTAATTGTAATCTTAAAATTTGAAATGTTTGTTTTTACTGTTTCTATTTTTATATCAATCACATTACTAAAAATAACGATATAAGCTTTGAAATCCTGAATTATATCCTGACTGATTGATCATTTACAGAATATATTAAAGTTATTTTAACTTTAACTAAATTAGATTATTTTAGGACTATATGGTCAGCATTGATTAAAGGAAAATACTATATTATTATAGAATTATTTTTTCTTTTTTTTTATATGAAAGAAGACTGAGAATATTGTTGCAGTGTTACATATCTAACTTTTAAATAATTAACTGGTATCATACCATCATTGTAAAAATGACATTACCACAGCCACCAAGAAAAAATTAAACATTGTTGATACCTGTTAACATAATAATACTATATCAATTGAACAGGCTTTGTAGTTTTGTTTTTATTCATTCCTAAATAGTTTTCAAACTTTGTAAGAAAAAATAGTAACTGTAAAAAAGTTTTACTTTACAAAATAAATTATTCTATTTTTATGTTGTTTGACTAATTTTAGGCTACATAAAAATATCCAAAAATACTACATTTTTACTTTGGTTAAGAATGTGTTTGCCTAAAAAATAAAATCAGTTATGATTATTTCTTTCCCTTGGTTGGTTACAAAGCATTTGAGTAACTGCATACTTATAGATACAACACTTGAGGCTCCAATACTGTGGTAAACTGTTTATGAACATGTAAAACAATAATGAATTGTTTGGAATACAAATTTTGGAAAATAGTATATTGTACTATTGCAACAAGTGACTGATAAGTGAATAAATCTTTCATTGTTTCTAAATGTTAACAACACAGTTGCACTGTGTTTATGATATATTTTCATGTAGAAAGCTTAGGATTAAAAAGTAACTTAAAGTGTTGTGCCTGAAGTAAGGGTTTCTTCTGACTTTCCATATTTGTTCACCACTTGATAAATGTTTTTGAGACACAAACTTTAAAATCCATTTTAATTATTAATTCTAGCTATATTTCAACAATTTTAAGTCAAAGGCATTTTGGAATTGATATATTGTCATTTTCTGACATTAATTTAACATAATTTATAAAGAGAAATGGAAAGAAGCTAATACTTTCATTTCTGCACAGCTGCAAAGAGCTTTGCCTGTAAACAAAACAACCAAATTTTTTTATAATTTTTCTTCTCCTCCCAAAGAATAACTGTTTTTGCTAAGAAATTATTAATCCTTGAGACTGTATTATTAATTTATTGATTTTCAAGTGTTTCCCTTAGTTTTTGTACAGGCTTCAGTTGGAACCATGTTATTGTGCCACATCAAGTGGTTTGATCATTTACTAATGAAATTTACCTTTGAAAACAACTATGAAGAAATTGTATACATGATTACAGAGCAAGAATTAAGAACTATCATGTCATATTAAAGTAAATATACAAGTTTAAGTTTGGTTATTGTTAGGCACAAAACTACACAATGGGCTATCTGTGCTCTGCCCATCACTGGTATCACTGCCTGATTTTTAAGAGTATTGTAAGCCTGCAGACTTACTTCTGAGACACTGGAAGCTATAGGTTTAAGAGTTTCTTTAATAGTTTTTTGTAAATGTCCCTTTCATTTGTGAATTGAAATTTCTTTAATAAATAATGTCTGTCTGAAGTCTAAAAATTTTCTTCAATAACAAGACATCATATAACTTGAGATAAGGTAATCTGATAGAGTTTAGAGATGGGTTGAATGGGTAACAAAGAACACTTTATTACAAGTTTAACATAGTAACAAATGTACAACTTATGGAAAAAGTTTTGTCATCATCATGCGTACAAATAATTTATCTATACACAGGAATATACATTCAGTATGAAACAAAGAACTCACTTGACATAAAATGTTTTTACTTTTTAATACATATACTATGATTTTTTTTAGTCGCAATGTCTCCAACCATGAAGTCTTTGTATTATGTTCAACAACTGTTATCAAATCAGATAAGCTTAGTTAAGTTTACTGTGTAATGAGTATGATGTGCAAGTAAAAAATATTCTGATGGCATTAATCTTTATTAAATGTTATTTTAATGTTTATCTATTCAAACAATGTACATAAATAAACTGGCTAATGGGCTATTTAATCATTTCTAATTGCAATTGTGATATATTTAAATAAAACATTATTACCCTTACCAATGATAGTAAAACATGTTTTCATTATTCAATTATCAATAGGTTTGATTTACAGAAGATCAGTAAGTGATTACTGTATATTTTAAAAACAAAATGGTGACTGTGTAATCATCTGTAGTCAAAAGTAGTAATTCATTTACCAAATAGTAAATGTCCAGATTATCTGATAGATCAGCACAGTTAAAATGGACATTATAACCTTTTAAAGAATTATAGTTTAATTAAATTTTGAATGTAAGTTTATGTTTTCCTATACTGAAAATGTATTTCCAATAATACTTATCTCCGCTCACACTTCAGCTTTATCCTGATGAAAGGTACTCTTCTTTGCCTGTCTAAACATTGGTATGAATTCTACCTCGCTTGCTCAAGTCTTTATATCCCACAATATCACCTATAGCAATTTTAATCTTATGACTCTCTCCACCTACATCAATGCACCCTCTATAAGCTCCCCATTATTCTTTCTTATTCTCTTTTTTTGCGACATGCAAGATTATCAGACCTGAACACCAGCTGTCATAGGGAAGAAGAGTGGGATAGTGAGAGGAGGAAAGTATAATAAGAAACATGTAAACTTCTAAAACCCACTTTAGCTAGAATCCCACATTGACTAGGTAGAGGGGCCAGTGAGGGCAAGATCCACAAAGAAATTGTCTGTGTAGAAAAACAGGTGTGTGAAATTGAGATATAATAAAACACACTAGTGGGGTCACACTACTTCTGGTACAGGTATATTCTTCACACAGATAAAGTGAAATTTAAATGTGGGCAGTAAAGGCCAACCAGCTACAGACTCAACATCATTCCATATCACAAGATTCGTCCAGGCCCCCCACCACACAGTTGAGGTTCCATGTCTCATTGTTTGTATTATAAGGCTGTGGATGCAAAACTAGATCCAAGGTGTAGTGGCTAGGGCAAAGGGACCACAATATGATATAATTGTATAATATGAATATGATACAAATGGAACCCAACCTGAAAGTTACAGAATGTCGCAGACGAACCACCGGAATTATGATAGGAAAGCAAGCAACACCCAACTAGACAAATCTTCCAATTTGAAGTAGCATAGAATGCAACAAACCAAACTCAGAATTATGAAGCCAATTTATGGCTCACTCAACTTGAAAAAATACAGAAACCATCTGGCCTGGGATTACGAACCGAAATCCTAACTACTCAACCTGGGAGGCAAGGCATCACCTCCTGCCCCTGGAATTACAAGGAGGATATGGAACAAAGTTCAACCAATGGCTCAAGGATATGATGCTCCATGTGCAGAATTACAAGGAGTCGATGACCCTCTTCCATGATCATGGAAAGTGACAGAATGACCAAAAAGAAGGGCCACACTCACACAACTGGATAGCAAAGTGTCATCTCTGAACTGGAATTACAAGGAGGTTCCCACGTAGGTTGGTCCGGATCCCCACCAGACATCTGGGAAAACCATCCAGGTTTAAGGGTGGGTATCCAGCTTTGCCCTCTTCTCCTTGAGTGGAATAAAAAGTTCAAACATCACTCAGAAGGAACAGACCTCTTTCCACCACTCTTGCAACTGGAAACTGGGAGTGGTAAAGAGAAATGAGGGAACTTGCATTGGGGAGTCCTGAGGAACGATGCTCCGAAGACAGTGCAATAGGAGAACCATATTCCCTATTTTGAAAAGCAAACCAATGCTGATTTGTTCAATCCAAGAGTTAGCAGGGATGGGCAAAGTCCCTTTACAATTTACTCATGATAGTCCATGAATGGCAGTCCAGTACTGCATATTATATTTGATATAGTACAATTGTTCACCACCTGGAAAGTGTCAAGACGGTCTTATAGAACACCTCAGTTCCACAGAACTTGTTACTACCAGGAATTTAGTTAAAAGCATACCTGACCAGGTAACAAATGAGAATGACAATAAGGTCTCTGAAAAGAAGCAGATAAGTAAAGAAGTTACCTCTGTCACAATCGAGCCAGGTTGTGTAGAATAGCCATGGAGGTAGCTGAAGCCCATCCATTGCAGAGCCCTAACAGGGCATAAAAGACAATCCAGATCCGATGATCATATAAATGAGAAGTTGAGGGAAGATGAATAGGAGAGAAAGCCTTATCTCCTTCCCTAGCTGCTGCAGTTTTAGGTAGAAAGGAACCTGGAAAAGGTGACGAGGTCAGATAACACAAAATGATTTCAAATGTAAAGAAAAAAACCAAACTCAGAAACTTTTCTTCTCTTGGAAAAACGAAAAGTAGTTAACAAGGCAGCCTTATACAAGGCAACAGATCAAGGTGCCAAACCTTTGTCAAACAACAATGTCAAAAATTGAAAGACAGAGTGACAGAGTGGGACGCAAGGGGTTAAACCAATGTCTGAGAGACCACTGATAATAAGTAAACCATTTCCTTTGAGAAACTTCCAAAGAAGAATGTCAAATAGAACGTGTAAATAAGGACTCCACATGAGACATCATTCCCTGATGTCATGGAAAACTGAGATTGATTAAGATGAACAGTGCCATCTTGTCTAGAGCCCCAAATAGTCAGAAGAGCACTGCATCAACAAGATAAAAATGTTATGAATGTTTCAGTGCATGATGGAGGTTTCTCCAGTAACATAGCAAATAATTAAATTAGAACAAGTAATATAGTAAAAAAAACTTGCAAGTTTGCATGGATAACACCATATTGTCAAATGTAGTTTGTACTAGTAATAACACTGATGATGTGTCAACATCAAAGGTTAGACTTAAAGGTGTGGTCAAAGTGTATAAGGATGCTCTACTTAACCATTTCAAAAAGCTTTGGCATTTTGGAAGAAGAGATTTAGTTTAAACCATACCCATCTAAGACTGCTGAGCCATTCCCAACAGTCCAGAATATTTAATCAAATGTCTCATTGCTTCTTAGTGCACATAAGACAACAGGTAAACTTCCTACTGTGGAGGTCTAATGCATATTTTGTTTATTGTATCATTGTATTTTTATTATGGAACCCCAATAACTTCCTATGTAGTTTATTAACCAAAACTCAAGTATCTCAAAACTTATCAATACAGAAAAGACTACTACATTTTGGTACTAAACACAATTATTGTTTTGCTTATATGACCATAAATATACATTTTGAACACAAAACAACATATGCCTTATTATATTCACTTACATTATTCATATATACTTTAATCTACAATTACTTCTTTATCTAGCACCTTATATTCATATATATTGCTCTAAAAAAAGCAATGGGCACCTTAGAAAAGGGTCCTACATTTGAAAGACAGTATCTCCACAAACAACAGGTGCACCAAAATTTTTCTTAAAGCTATCTTCATATCTCACACCAATCTAAAACAGCCATAAACATCATAGATGCAAATAAAATAGTGCAATAAATCAATTTGCAAAAGTTGATCAAAACCTATAATAAAAATAATAAAAAGGTATCTTTTCTCATTCTTATTCTTCTTGTCATGTCCATGTCTTTTCTTATGAATCAGCTGTTAACTATCTATTGACTTATTCAAAAATTATTAAACTATATATTACTCTTTACATAGTATCAAACTGTATAAGAAGCTAGAAATATGCCTGGATTGGTTTGTTAGAAAACAAGATTATTAACCAGAATTCGGTTATCTTACAATTTTTCAACAAAGAAGAGGCTACAACAAAACTTGCTTAGACTTGACATGTAGCCATCCTGAAAAATGCCAGCAAGTGATTTCTTAATCTTAAGAATAATCAATGAGGTAACTAATATACATGGATCAAATCAACTAATGACTGAACCTTTTAATTTAAGCAATTTATTCTTATTTATGTACATCAGATGATCCTTTACTGACAAATGAAAAAAAAAGTAAATGGCTTTACCTTAACTGCTTCTAAAATGTTTCTTTCTGCTTTGGTATGTGCAGTGTCTTTCTGATTTCTTACAATAGTTGCCTGCAATAAAAATATACAAGGTCAGTGAAATCTGTGCTTGTAAAAAATAGATTTTAATTGGAAATCAAGTATTAGTAATAACAATTTATTACTATAATTATGTAGTCTTTAACCCTATGTGTATGGGTAGATGTTCAAGTGTACAAGTAATGACTTTTTTAAAGAGTTACATTCAAACTTTAATTAAGCTAAGATATTTCTTCTAATTTATGAAAAATTTAAATTAAAAATTTAAAGTTTATTCCAATTTTTATCAAAAAGAATTACCTTCTTCAGAACTTTCATGGCAAATATTTTGTTTGTATCCTTTCCAGTAACTTTCCGCACTTGAAAAACCTAAAAAACACAAACAACAAAGTAGTTCAGCATAGAAACAAACAAAAGAACTAAAGGAACAAGAAAATATTTATTTCACAAATCATTACAGAATCTTACCAAAACATCACAGAACTTAATCAGCACTAAAAATACTTTTCAGTTTACAACATTTCAATTTTATTCATATAGTGTTTGTGTTAATGCATATTTTACACATAAATGCCCAAATTTTAACAATAGGGATGAATGAAATTGCTTTATAATGCATCCCAAGAACACGGGCTTAAATTATCTTCATGAAGCTCTTTTAATCCTATTTAATAAATATTGTGTTAAATAAAATTGGAATTTCATCTGTATTTTGCTTCAGTTTGACACTAACATCCACACTGTATCTTATGATGTTGTGGTCACAAATGTTTTGTCCTGTTTTGCACAATTCAGCATGATGCAAATTTGACTTAAATGCATCATTGTCTACCTTCAAAATCAAATAATATTGTATGAGGAGAAACTTGTGGTAGGAAGAGCAAGGAAAATATCATGAGCAAAACAATGCAATGTAGAGCATTTTCAGACATTACTACAGTTATTATGTAAGAACTGAGAAAAATAAAAATATTGATGTTTTTTATGTTTTGTGTAAAAATATAAGAGGGGCCCCCCATTTTTTCCAAGTGGGTGAGTTCCCAGACTAATAATAACAAAATCTCTATAATTATAGCACTTATTTTATGAAATTTTCTTTTAAAAATTTCCTTTATTAGGTGGCATAAATCATAACACATAAAAGAGATCCGAGTCACATATGACTATTAGAAGGACCAAGCATAAAGTGATTTGTTTTGGAAAATGGTTTGCAGTATTGGAATGATCAGATTGAGGAATGGAACTTGTGTATTAGAAGATGTCATGAAATGTGTGATGATGAGAAACCCACTGAAGTAAAAATGTACAGCAGAAACAGCTGGTATGGGTATTAAAAACTTTAATTAAAATAAAGTATTTAATACTCATACCAGCCATCTCTGCTATACAAAAGTAACATGTGTAAGATCTTAAAACCTGGAGCTACATACTGTGGGGTTGAAAATTACTTCACTGATGATGTGAGGTAATGTTGTACTAGCTAGCCAATTTTCTAAATATTAGGTACTTAATGTAAAAATTCCATTTGGATATTAGTTAAAATAATGAACAAAAATATTATCTTTAAGTTATGTTTGATAAACATAAACATTGTAAATATAGCTAATTTCCTGTTTTTATCCTTTTTAAATGCATATTAAAATGTTCCTTCAACCCTCTGAACACAAGTAGGTCAAAGTGTGCATGTCATAACTTTATATACTTACATTCAAAATTTAATTAAAGTACTTTATTATCAATGTATATCAATAAACTTGGCATTAAAATATAGTTAATAAATCAACTTTAATTAAAAGTTTGAATTTCTAAATTTCAAAAGGAAATGTTTAAATAAATTCTCCATCTTCATTTGTCTGTATCATGTTTGTAACAAATTGCCCATTTTCGATTTTCTCATCCCCCTAATAGGATGTCCTGAGTTTAACATAAGTTACACATTCATGGTACAGATATTATTAAGGCACAGTCTAATTTTATAGCCATATTCTGGCTTCATAAAATCTTTAGTAACAATACTTTATCAAAAAAATTATTTTTTTTTGTACAGACTTGTAATGTTCACTTAATGCTTCCCAATTTTCAAAAAGATACACTTACTATATTAAAAGTTATAGCATGTATACTCTCATGGTTACCTAGTAACTACACAGTGATTGTCAGTCAAAATTACGGAGTGTACATAACATGAAATATGAAAACACTAACTAAATCAAAAATTTAAATCTGAACCACGTATTAAGCAAGGACTCATGAAATAAAGAAGCATGATAACAGCTTAAAGTGTACATGCAATTTTACAAATGTATATTGCCTATTTTGGAATTGCTTGATTGTTTTTCTTAATTCATTTATGAAAAATACTCAAGTATGTTCTCCAGCATATGCTAAATACATTAAGGAAAGCAAGCAAAGAAACATGCTTAACTGTTCAGTTTAGACAGCATAATCTCTAGGATGATCAAGAGAAAATAGGGAAGATGATGAAAATTTCTTGGTCATTTAAAAATAATAACAATTCTTGAAGAACTGGGGTCAGGTGTCCAAATTATAATCTTGCAATACAGTCAAATTTAGATATCTAATAAAATCATAGAATAAATTTTCCATATACAGTACATCAATACATTATGCTTTTCTATAATTTTTTGTTGATGAATTGATTAGTAAGATTACCTTCAGATTAAGTGGCTACTTTGGTTGGATATTTTGGTGATGGAAAGCTGACATCAATGGACTGAATAGCATTTTATCACCTTTTCCATGCATTTCTTAAATCCAAGTCAAGTAACATTCATATTGAAACAAAAACCTTTTTCACTTATAATTACAGTATTTCAGGAGGAAACACAAACATTCACCTTTCCATATCCACCTTTTCCAAGTACCCGTAGTAATTCAAAATCTTTTGGTCCAGTCTTCTCCTGTCCTGGATTTACTGTTATTTCTGAGAGTTGAATTTTCTCTACATCCTCTGAGCTGCAGTAGAATACATGTAAAATATCATTTCATCTTTAACAGAAGATTAATACTCAAAAATATTACAACAATGCCAATCATTACTATATGTCAAGCTGTTTTACCCTACTAATAGATGAAGGCAGTCTTGCTGAATTAAGCCAATTTTATCTAATAACTGTACCATTACGGTACTCCCAGCTAAACTAATTTCCCATTCAAATAACAATAGTTAATGCAACAGCTAGAGGAATGTTAGGAAATAGGTTGTAGAGTAAATCTGGATTCTAATTTAACTAAATAAAAAAAAACACAATGTGACAGTAATTTGTATTCACTTACAACATTAACAAAGATGAGTGAGTGCATAAAGATGGACAGTACTTCTCTCTAAAGACTGGAGAGAGACTTTAGCAGGAGAAAATGTGGATGTAAATGATAATATTCTACCAAAACTAAGAAAGCTAACCACTGTCTATAAATCAAAATAGCATGGTCTCTCCCAGAGTGTGTGCACTACATACATCTACAGGGTATTCCATTATACATACCCTTTCTTAATTTTACCTATTTTCGATTTCAAACCAAAAGTGTGTAAAAAAAAAAAGAGAGGTAAAATGCTCTTTTTATTAGAGGTTGGCACAGGTACTTGAACACATGATGTTTTCAATTATCAAATCAGGTCTATTTTTACTAACCAGATATCAATTATTAATTTGAGAATTGAAAGAAAATGTAGAAAAAGACAAAAATGCAGTTGTGAGCATGGATCTTTGGCTGGCATAATAAAAAAAAATGTTGAAATAGGCTTTGCATTAATACTGAAGCTTCCTAACCTAAGGGATAAAGGTTTTAGAGAAAACAAAAGGCTACAGGTTAATACTTGTGATCAGTTTAACAAATTATTTTTCACTTTTTTATTATTACCTGAACAGGATCCAGGTTCTTGGTATATTTTACAGCAGACACCCAGTTCCAGAGTTTCTACCCTTTCTGAACTCTAATTTTTATACATTTCTAGTTTGAAATTCAAAATGGACAAATCAAAAAGAATATGAAAAAAAACATCTGCAGTCTTAAGTGATATATTTTTTTTATCACAAATATGAATTTTACAGTTTCAAAATAATTTTTCAAATTCAGTGGAAAATACTAGTCCAAACTTTTAAAACATTACAACTTTAACAGCATTAAAAACTTTACACCTCTTAACCACATATCTTCTGAGTAGTCTACCATGTGTAATATTTTATACCACATTTATTTACTTATGACATTATACAATGTCAATGGCTACTTCAAGAGTTACAATTATATATTGATTAACAGTGCTTAAAAGTTATCATTTTTGTTGTCCAAGTGAACCATTTCTTAAGTCCAAATTATGATTATAAAAATGTCATATGTGGAGAAAATATGTGGAACAAACCAAAAATTTTAGTATTCAAATGAATTTACACAGACCCACATGAGAAAACTCCAAAATTGTATCTGACATTGATGCTAAAATTATTTTTATAAATGTATCACAAAATCTTATGGTGAATTGAGAGAACCATACTTTTTGTTTCCAATTTTGAGAAAATGATTATTTACAAACGAAAATGTAATATGAAAAACCTTTTACTTAGAAATTAAAGTTTACATTTTCCTATACCAAAAATGTATTCCCGATAATACATACCTCCTCTCACACTTTAGCTTTATCTCAATGAAATTCTCTTCTGTGCCCATCTAAGCATTGGTATGAATTACACCTCGCTTGCTCCAGTCTTTATACCACACTATATAACCCCTAGTGATTTTAATCTTGTTACTCTCTCCACCTACATCAATGCACCTTCTATACCAGATCTGTATATAAGTTCCCCATTATCAGACCCAAACATGGTTACTGTGAGAAGGAACAGCAGGATAGTGTGAGAGGAGGTTAAGTATTATCAGAAATACATTTTTGGTATAGGAAAATGTAAACTTCAGAAACACACTTATCTCCGCTCACACTTTAGCTAGAATCTCATACTGGCAAGAACCACAGAGTAAGCATCAGTGTAGAAAACGTTTGCAAACTGAGATATTGTATCCTCTAGATAATGTGAAATCAAAAACGTGGGTGGTAAAGGCCAACCAGCCACAATGTCAAAACCGTAGCATCATGAGAAGAAACATGCAAGAAGGGACACCAATTCCGAAACTGGTTCCTCCTACAATCCCAGACGCATCTGATCTGGAAATATGGTATGTGCTCACTAGAGTTATCCAGGCCCCAACCATGCAGATGAAGTCCCATATCTCTTCATTGGAATTATAGGTCTGTGGACCCAAAGCTATATCGAAGGTATAGTGGCTAGAGCATGAGGACCGCAATGTGATAAATTTGTATTATAGTTACTTTATGTTAAGGGAACCCAACCTGAAAGTTACAGAATATTTCATGTCGAGTCAGTGGACTTACTAAGAGAGTGCATGCAACACAAAAGTGGACAAACTCTCACCCCAACCTGAAGATGCATAGAAAGCAACAAACTGAATTCAGAATTACAGGGCCCATTCAGGCCTCACTCAACCTAAATAAAACAGAGATCATCCAGTCTGGGATTATGAACCTAAACCCCAACTCCCCAACCTGATAGGCAATACCCCTGCCCCTGGAATTTCAAGGAGGATGTGGAACAAATGAAGTTCAACCAATGGCTCAAGAATCGATACTCCACATGTGGAATTATGAAGAATCAAAGACCCCTTTTCTGTGATCATGAAAAGTAATATAATGACCAAAAAAAGGGGCTACACTCAACACAACCAAATAGCAAAGTGTCATCTCTGAACCAGAATTACAAGGAGGCTCCCACGTAGGCTGGTCCTGCTCCCACCAGGTTTTGGGAAAACCATCCAGGGTTATGTGTGGGAGTGTATCCAGCTTTGCCCTTTTCTCCTTGAGTGGAATAAAGGGTTCATATGTCACTCAGGAGGAATAGACCTCTGTCCACCATTCCAGTACTTTTCAAAATAGGGAACATGGTTCATCTATTGCACTGTCTTCGGAGCATCGTTCCTCAGGACTCCCCAATGTGAGTTCCCCTTTTTTCTCTTTACCACTTCCATTTGTGAGCTGTGTTGAGATGGGCTGTTCCATAAGAATACCTTAGATCTTTTAGGGTGGACACAATTATTCAGTATCATCCATAATATACAATAGTTGACCTCCACTTATGAACTATCATGAGTAAAGCATAAAGGGATTTTGCCCATCCCTGATGACCCTTGGATTGAACAAATTGGCATTGTGGTTTTGCTACCAAGAATTTTATTTATTAGTCTACTGATAGCTAGTGCGGATTGGGGAAAAGCACACCTGACCAGGCAACACTTGCCACTGAGTGGGATCCAAAAGATAATGATGAGGGGGGGGGGGCCTGAAAAGAAATAGAATAACCCAAAAGAAAAAAAAGTCACTCACCTCTTTCACAATTGAGCCAGGGTGTGTAGAAAAGACAAGGGGTAGCCAAAACCCATCCATGGAGGAAACTGTTAAATTATGTAAATAGTGCACATACCAGCCCATATAATTTTTTCCAATGGATTATTCAACCTAGCTGCCTGGGGCATCAAGATATATTAAACTTGATGAGATGTGACCTGAAGAAGTCTCCGCTCCACCAATGAAAACCCAGAGTAAACCATACGAACCAACTGACGAACCCAACCTGTCAAAGTGAGACAGTAGGATCCCAATGGATAAACAAATGGTGGCATGAATAAGTTTAGGGAATAAAAGACCTGTTTGGATACAACAGAACATAAGTGAAGTGATAGAGAGTCCTGTGAACATGACATGCAAACACATCTGAACGTTGATAATCGCTAACCAATAACAGAAGGAAGTAAGTCTTAATGACAATGAACATGACCTCAAAGGTTTAAAAGGTGGACGAGATGAGGCAAGGAGAACCACTGTGATATCCCAATTAGGAACATGGAAAGGACAACGAGGATGAATAACCCAAAAAGACTTCTGAAGTAATGACAAAACTGGGGTCTCAAACACTTTTCTTTTCTTAGAAAAATGAAAGGTAGCCATTAAAGCAGCCTTATACAGGCCAATAGACTAAGGTGCTAAACCTTTGTAGAATAACCAAGTCAGAAATTGAGTTTTATGGCACAGTGGAATGGGAAGAGTTAAACCCATGTCTGAGAGACCATTGATGATAAGTAAACCATTTTTGTTGACAAACTTTCAAAGAAGAATGCCAAGTAGAACGTGTTAATATGGATACCACCTGAGAAGTCCATCCCTGATGTCATGAGATAGACTGCATAAAAGCCAGGCATGGAGTCAAATAACACTGACTGCCAAAGGAGAAATGTCTGACCAAGGCTAATGTAAGAGAGATAGACAGAGAGGAAGGGGAAAAGAATGACACTCCTGAAAATACTAAAAAGAACCAGAAGGATGGGAGCCGAGCATTCCAGTGTGTTGCAAAAGCATCTATTTAAGGAAATCTGAGACAGGAGCAGATGCCACGAAAAACTCGAGGATGAAGCATCTATTCCATGGGAAGAGCTCTGTTGAGATGAGATAACTGGTCAGCCACTAAATTCATTACACCTGGAACATGACAAGCAAAAAAAACAATCTGATGTTTGTGTGCCCAAAAGAAAAGATCCTATCTTTGAAATCAGAGAAACACCAGGTGATTGCCACCTTCCTTTGAAATGTATGAGACGATTGTGGAAATGTCTGTGTGAAGCATTACCACCTTCCCTCTCAACAATTTGAGACCCTGACTCACAGGTCGTTGAACTGCTAGAAGTTATAATAGACTGATGTGAAGAGAAGTTTCCTCTTTTGTCCAAAAGCCATTGAATTTCATATTCTCTAAACAAGCACCCCAGTTCTGGAGAGAAGCATCTGTGAAAGATGTATCTCTGGACATGGGGCAGTGGAGGGACACAGACTGTCATCTTGTCCCTGTCCAATCAACAGCCAAGATCTTGCAAACTGGAAGCCGACAGGACCACCATACAATCCAATGCATCTGTGCAAATATTCCACTGGTCCTGTAACAACCACTGAAGGATCCTGCATGTGAGCCCAACCTAAAGGAATGAGTTAATCCAAGGATGCCCACATCCCCAAAAGAGATAGAACTGCATGTACTGGTGGAGAAGGATACAACTGTAGTTGAAGAATTACCCATTCCACGGCCTGCAGGTGTAAAGAAGGTTGGACCCTACTTAGTCTGATAAACACCCCAAGGGGCAGAATTTATGACAACAGTCTTATGTGATTACTGCAGGCTTCTTTTTAGCATTATTACTATATTTTTGACATTTTCTTTTAGACTTGTTCTAGCGAGTCTTGAGTTTATTGTTTATTTTCTTTATTTTTGAGTTTATGTGGGAGGGGGCTCAAAGACAGTCTGGTGAGAATGTAGATTATATATTTCCAGCACCTTCCTTTGCTCAGACATACATTCTGCATCCTGCACCTTTTTAGCAACTTGTATGCTAAGTTTGTAATGTTTTGAGTATTTCTCCTGTAGCTTACAAATCTTCTTCTCTTTTATTGGGGGAAACTCATTTGTCTGATTACCTGAATCCTTCCACCTTTTCCAGACATTGCTGTGCATGTGTGAGGAGATTTGCTGATCATTTGAGAAAGTGTGCTGCCATGTTTGTCTTTCTTGTTTATTGGATCAGCATGCCTTGGCTCTTCATCGCCTGGAGAATCTTATTTGGACTCTCAGAGGTTAGACCCTCTATTTCCTGTTAGGGACTCTAGACAAGATTCCACTGTTTATCTTAATCTCAATTTTTCTATAGTTCATTTTGCATTTTTTATCATCTTTGCAACTGTTGTCTGAAGCGTATCAGAGATTTCCTAATCAGCTTTCAGAGGATCCCAGTCATTTATTGACTTCCACTTTGTTTAGATTACCTGTTTCTGCTTTCTCATTGGTATCTTGGTTGGTTTGTTGCTGAGATCTTTTGGAGACAGATACCTTACTAGAGGGAGTTTGCCTTCCTAGTGTTGGCCCTTAGAGATCTCAGAGAAGCTCCTTTTCTTAGACAGTATATTTTTGCTGGTATTCCTTATTCTATGGAATCTCGAGTGGTCCATCTCCACTCTTCCCTTTCTAGCCTAGCTTCTCGACTGTTCCAAAGGTCTTCTACAGGATGGTTTCCTGCATTTGCTGTTCAAGTTTCCAGACCTCTGGCTTTAGCAATTCCAACCTTACCAGCAGGAATCCTCCTCTAGGTTGGAGAACAGACTACGATGGCGGTGACTACTTTTAGGGTCAGGTTCTGTGGTGTCTCAACTCAGAGGGTTTGTGTCAGTATGGGAGACCTTCACTATAAACCAGTGGTTCATTCAAATTCTCAGAAGAGGATTGGTCATTCAGTTCACATATCCTCCTCCATTGTCTCTCATACCAGTTGGCTTTCCAACCCCCAAGGACCCTCTTACATTCAGCCATCAAGTTCAAGCCATCCAGGATCTTCGGCACAAAGAGGCCATATAGCAAGTCAACACTTCTCAGAAGGGTTTTTTTATTCCCAGTTGTTTGTAGTACTCAAAAAAGATGGGCACTTGGCTACCTGTCATTGACATTTCTCACTTCAATCACTTCCTTCAGCCTCACCAGTTTACAATGGAGTCTCTATTTTCCTTTGGTGGCTCTTTTCACTTGGTCTATTGATATTCCAATTGCAGAGTCTTCACAGCTTTATCTCCATTTCATGCACGACAACCAGGTTTTTCAGTTTCGTGTTTTTCCGTTCAGCCTCACATCTGCCTCGTATGTTTTTTGCCAGATGGTCAGATCCATTTCACATCACCTTCACTCATTGGGCATTCACACTCACCATTACATGAACAACTGCCTTCTTCTCGCCCCTTCCCGCCACTTGGCAGGAACCTCACACTCAAACTATGTTATCAGAAGCTGCGAGAGCTGGGTTTCTTATCAAAAAGGAAAAGACTATTCTTATGAATGAGTTTCCCTCAATAAAGTTTACATTCTCACCAGTCTGTCCTTAATCCTCCCATAAACTCAAAAACTCAGCCTCAGAGCCAACAAAAGAAAAAACATCAGACCACATGTAAAATTCTACCTCTCTGCATATGGTGAACTGTGTGTCCTCTGTGGAAGGTCCCCCCTTCATTTGATGCCCAGGTAATGCCAGACTCACAAGATGGTGGAGGAGGAACATCTGGTGACTCTATATCCGAGACGTGAACATGTGTATTCTTATTCGAAAAATGTCCCTAAAATGTTCCTTTATAGCAAAATAAAGAAAATAAACAATAAACTCAAGACCCATTTGAACAAGTCTAAAAGAAAACATCAAAAACATAGTTATAATGCTAAAAAGAAACCTGCAGTAATCACATAAAACCGTCATCATAAATTCTGTCATTGAGAAAAAGTGAGTAAGAAGAAATAATGAGGAGCTTATACATAGATCTGGTATAGAAGGTACATTGATGTATGTAGAGAGAGTCACAAGATCAAAATTGCTAGGGTCAATATAGTGGGGTATAATGACTGAAGTAAGTGAAGTATGATTCATACCAATGCTTAAACAGGCAGAGAAGATAAAATTTCATCACGATAAAGCTAAAGTGTGTGTAAAGATAAGTGTGTTTTGGAAATGTCAATTCAATAGGGTTTGATTTATCAACTTTTATAAAATATTATTTTGCTTAGATTTTTGTCCAATAAATTATCATTTTACTTTATAAGTATCTTATTTCAGCTATACAAAATCAAAATCATTTTCATACACTTGATTTTATTATCAATTACCTTAAAAATTTTCAGAAACTGGGGAACAGTTAAATGTTACTATGAAAGAACTATTTATCTTTCATTTTCAAACACGAACAAAGTATGAAATTTCAAAAAAATTCAAATTCTTTCACTTTTATATAAACAGAGATAGAGATAGAAACAGAGGACCAAGAAATTCTTGGAAGGAATTAATAGTACTACAGATAAGCTTTTGCTATAACAAGTATTTTATTCCCCAAAATAAACTTCAATGCTAAAAACTTGCATATTTTTGGGTTTTGTTGACCTTTTTCATCATCCACACAACATTTTGGCAGTTTTGTTGTGTTTACTCAGCACTTGCTCTTCTTATTTCTGTATTAACACCTCCTATTAAGGACCATTCTAGGCAATTACAACACAAATTCAACATGGTAAGCACTTTGTTGACATCATGTAATAATTGATTGGATTGATCTCATTTTCAGTTCGACAGTTATCATAAACTACGGGTACCTGCCAACTAGTAATTGCTGTATAATTCATTTTTGAGTTTTTCTTTCCCTGAATAATGACTCTTCAGAACTGCCTGGGAGAGCAAACCAAAGAGATACAATAGATTTCCATACAGTGGTGAAATGGAAACACTTTGTAGAATTTGATTTAAGGGACCTTGCACCAAATCCTACACATCACTTTATAACTCATCAGTCAGTTTATGGTTTTTATATGGTTTCCAATGCTTTATGTTTGTTTTATTACTGATACAGGTTTTTGTTTTTTTGAACTGAAGAATATGCACAAATACATGAATGATATGTACCACAGAATAGTTTGCATATTTGACATACACAATGATTCATGTTAAAAAATGCATATTTGACATACACAATTATTCATGTTAAAAAAATGCATATTTGACACACACACACACACACACACACACACACAATTATTCATGTTAAAAAATGCATATTTGACACACACAAACAATTATTCATGTTAAAAAATGCATATTTGACACACACAATTATTCATGTTAAAAATGCATATTTAAGTGGATATGCATCTTATATGGAGCATGAATTAGTCACAAATGTTTCTATAAACAGACTTCTTCAAGCTACAACTTTTAGTAACACAGCCAACACAAAATTACTCTATTATTAATGAAAAAATAATAATAAGCAATCCTATTGCAATATTCACACTTAGTAACTTTAATAGACTTGAATGGTACTATAAAAAGGGTATACTTGGAGTAAACAACACTGTTCAGATACAAGTTAACTCTACAGACTGCTTAAATTTTAAATTATCCTAATTATTACATTTGCAGAACATAATTAAGAATTAACTATACAACAAGACAAATGTGGATTAGTACAAAAACTTTTAAATCATTTTTACAGGTACTGAATCTATTGATAAGAAAATATTTTTCTCCTCATGAGCTAATCACTTTGTAAACAATAAAATTGTTTTAAAAGTTAAAATATTTTTACTAAACTTAAATCTGTGCTGTATGTTATTTAAACATTATAATGCAATGCTCTTTCATATATATATATCTTACTTTTTGAAACATTTTTACAACATACAAAAATTTGGGATGGTTATGATAAATGAGAAAGTAATTTTGATGGGCCAAATGGCTTCTTATCACCTTACTCTTTCTAGACTTTTAGGTTTGAAAAATTAAGATGAAATTATACTTATTTATCAAAAAAGCAATAACCAACAGTACTTACTCTAATATTGCATTGACATCTGGCTCATCATTCAAACTCTATTGAAAGAAGAAAAACAACCAATAAACATGAATCAAAAATCCAAATAGTCAACTAGTTAGATACACAACTTTAAACTGCACAAATGAATTTTCAAAATACTAGAGTTTTTAAATAAATGAAATCATTTAATTTATTGACATATCAAATAATAACACTTCCATAACAAAAAATTCAATTAAATAATCATGTTACTACCACTCAGTCCAAGTCTTTTTTTTTACTTGCACCAAAACTGATAATGTCAATGCAACACCAAAACTTATCATTTTATTCAATTCATAGAGAAAAAACTTCATTGCATTTTACTTCCTTAAAAATATATTTCAATCAATTTTAATCACACAAGTTCCTAAAGAATTCTATACATTAATATTTTTTTAAATATTGAATTTCAAGTTGATTTGTTCCAAATCAACTTTAAAAACAGAGGTTATAATGACCTCAGTAACATAAGTCTAAAGAGTATTACAAGCAGAATCAGTTGTATACCTACTTGAAAATTTTTTATTAATAAAGCTTTACTAAAAATAATCTAAAAGATTAAATTTAATTAGTTATAACAGTTAGCACAAAGATTTCTCCAGCCATACCAACTGGCACAGTTTTATGAGTTTAGTTATCTCATTCACCTGAATATTTAAAAACCTTTTGACATTATTATTGTATGAAATTGACAGGTAAGAGGTTATTTTTTGGTACAAGTAATGTTCAAAACCCGGTAGCAAATAGATGAATATTACTAGTTAAGATTTGCTATAAACTATCTTATGTTCTTCTCCATTATTTATTCTTTCCTTTTTATTCATTCAAGAGGGTATACAGGTCTTACTGACTACTATGCTAGGTTGACTGAGTATTTTAAAACATTAAAATAGTTAGTTCATTCAAGTTCTAAATGGGGAAGACCCTAGCTGACTGAATAATACACCACACTTCCATCAAAAAAGACCCAGGACTGAATCTCAGCCACTACAAACACAGAAATGGTTCTGTTCTTCTCAAGACTTCCCACAGATGGCAGCAGATTAACAGTCAAAATGTAATAGAACCCTAGTTAGTAATTAATATTTTGTTACAAATATAAATAGGAGTTACTAATTAATAATTAGGTTTAAATTATAGTATAGGCTACTAACCATAATAGTGATTTATATCCAATCTCCACACTGTTACCGTAAATACACAATCTTCTTGTGCCAGGTTTATTTTTAAGATACGTAGTACCTATCTGAAAAACTGGTAAACTTTGGAAGGTTTGAGAGGGAATACCATTTATTCATGGTAATACAAAGTTTCAAACTCATACAATTAATAATAAACTTTGCTAGCTAAAATAAGCTTAATAGTGTGTCCCATATATATGTCCATGACAATGCTCTAGAAGGGGACATGTATGTGTTAATAGGGGTCTCAGAATTTTGATGCCTAAAACTATTATTTTGCTACTTGTTATTTGATGTAAGATCATTTTCCTGGTACCGTAATAAAGCACACGTAAATACGTACTTCAATTTTTTTTTAATTTAAATATGAATGTTTTAAAAACTTTTCAAATAGCAGGAAGTTATTATTAACAGAGCTTCCTGATTAATGGATACAATTCATAGATTAATACTGCCCCATAGAGACACCTGAGAGGCTTACATGTATGGTACATTGATTACAGTTGTGACTGCAAGGTAATTGGGATTCAAGGAAACTGAACAGCAAGTTGCATTTACATTACTCTAAATTTGAAGAATAAAATTAGATCATATCTGAGTTGATAGAATATTGGTATTATATTGGTGCAATATTAAGTATAGATTTTGTTTTTTTTATATACTCTTAATGAAAAGAAATGTAAATACTATAGGCTTAAACAATATCTGTAATATATAAAAAAATTATTGTACTAGATTCACAAACAGTTAAGCACAAGGTTGTTTCAGGAAACCAATTTATTATGTGGTATTATGGCAATGAAATCCATTTAAAACAGCACCTAATATTTTTGCTTTTTTTTAAGATGTTAATATTTTCCTAAACTAAAATATATTTCCGATAAATACTTACCTTGATTCCTACTGAACTCTATATGTGCAAAGTTTTCACCTGCCACTAGCCTTTACACTCCCACTGATCTCCACATGTTTTTCATGTGGTATAGCTGTGTTGTAGCATGCAAGTAAGCATATGACAACCCTCCACTAAAAGGAGTGTGACACACCCTCCTAGCTCAGATGACTCTATGCAGTAGAACCCAATCTTCACTTTGAGATTAAGAACGAAAAAAAAAAACTTGAAGTGTGAGAAGAGGTATCTGTTGGAAACATTTTCAGTTTAGAAAAATATTAACTTCCGATAGAATAACTTTACGTCTTCTCACAAAACAGTTAGAATCCCACACTGACCCACTGGAAGGACCAGTGTAGAATTAACCTAACTGAGTCACCCCCAGAAACATGTGAAGAGAACAAGTTGTGTGTGTCATCTCAATGGAGAGGAAACATACATATGGGAGACTACATCGCATCTGAACCAGGTATACTCCTCACCCGAAATGGTTGAATGTATTGTGGAACAAATCGAAATGATATAAACCCCAAAAAGTGTCATTGATGTAGAGTGGCTATGGTGCATTGGAACATAAGTGGGATGTCAACTCCAGTCCAAAGCCAGAGGCACAGAGATTGGATCAATTGGCCCAGGGTAGGAGAAGGGTCCTTTACCAGGAACCAGAAAGGAAGAAGTGTTTCCCTTCTGAGAACCCAAGCTATCATGTTTGAATAACCAATGCGACCAACAACAGTTGGACAGTCTGGAGGAACACATCACCAGAGAAAGTGCAATGGGTGACCAAGTAACCTTATTTTGAAAATCAGACTAAACCCAATTTGTACAATCAAGAGAATGGCAGGGAAGGGCAGCATTTCCCTTCTGCTTTAACTCATTTTAATCCATGAGTTTACAGTCTGGAACAAATATATTCATAAAGAAAAACACCATGAGGATGAACCTACAAGCGGTCTTGTGGAATACCCCATCTCAACAAGGAGCATTAGCAACTGAACAGTCACACAGTGAGAATTTAAGAAGTAGTATACTTGGAAAGGTACTACTCGCCAAAGTGAGGAATCCAATAAAAAAGCAAGGAGGCCCCTGTATTATGAAATAAAAAAAAATGACACCCACTCAAAGATGAACCAATGAGTGAAGGATGGCAACAGGAGGTAGACAATATCTGGCTGAGAAAGAAACATCCAGATGATGCAGATAACGTGACACGAAAGTATGAGGTGTAGTCCACATGCCAACCTGGATAATCTTCAAAGGACATGGAAATCAAGCAGTCAAAGACATTGTGAGGTGACGAATCTGATGAATAGACACACAGAAAAGGTAAGAAGTCAGGAGACAAGGAGGAATAGGCTATATAGATTAGTTGCCAAACCCAACCAGTCAGGGTAATAGGAGAAAGATCATGAGAAACTGAAGAGTTCCAGAGTATAAACAAACAGGAACCAAGGAAAGCAGCCATGCGAGCCACATAACACCTCAGAGCCCTGACCAGACACAACCAGTATACAACTGGGATCAGACCAGGAACATGTATATGAAATGAAAGGAAGGGAAATAGAAGTGAAACCAACATTATCCTCACATGCAGCTGAGGTTTTTGGTAGGAAAGTACAGTTAGGATAAAAGAGAACATAAGTTCAGCAGTAAAAGATGTGGGAGACATCAACAGCAAACACATTCAACCTCGGCATCCATAAGGTTTTCAAGGATAGGTGATATATGCAACAGGAAGCCAAAGGTTCAAATGCAGGTAGAGATAAGCCATGGAAGACAACACTAAGATTCCAATCTGGCAAGGGAATAGGTCGAGGAGGACAATGGAGACGAATGGAATGAAACAAGACAAAAATAACAGAAGAAGAAAATACCATGGCAGAATCAGGAAAAACAAAAGGTAGATGATAACATGGCTCTATAAATGGCAATGGTCAAAACAGAAAGACAATTATTGAAAAGCTAGGTGAAAATTCAGAAAAGTGAGAGACAGAAAAAAAGGAAGGGATAAATCCCCAAAAAACAGACCAATGGCAAAATATATACCAATAAGGTTGGTACAAGGACAAGGAAGAGAAGCAGATGGGGTGAGAAAGAAGGGATGCTACCCAGGTGGAAAGTCCAGAATCTCAAGCAAGGAACTGGACAAAAGCCATGCACAAATCCGGAAAGTGGCAACAGATGGATGAAGCATTGCCAATTGAGGCTAACAGAGAGGGGAAGAGGAGAGAAGAAGAGGTAATGATGGTGACAATTGAAAAGGGAGAAGTAGAAGGAACCAAGGTTGAGCTGGCTAGAATGGAGCCTCTAGAAAGACTCAACACAGACTGGTTTGAATAATGGAAAAAACAACGGGAAGAAGACAGATGGGGAGGATAGGCATAAGTGTAGAGGTCTTTTCAATCCTGACTGAGGGTGTCTATCACCAAAACCGAAGGATGAGAAACAGGAAACAAAAATAGAGGGAGTTTGATATTCAGATGGGGGAGTAAACACATCCAGCCAAGGAGTACCCAACCAAGAGCACAGAACAGCATGCCCAATGTGTGAAGACACAGTGACCATGACTGGATGCACACTTTCTGAGTGATGTAAGAAACAACAGGCGAGTTGTTGGAGTGGATCATCACTGTTTATCCCCTCAAAGACAGCAAGAAATGATCCATTACCTGTCAAACAGCCAGGAGTTCCAGATTATTGATGTGTAAACTCTACTCAACTGAAGACCAACAGCCTGACATCTTTTGAGTGTTGCAGTACACATCACAGCCTGACAGAGAAGTATCCATAAAAAGATGCATCTCTTTTCATGGAGGAGGAAGAGGGGCACCAACCATTGTGTTGTCCCTGTGCAGCCACCAGACAAAATCAGTATGGAGGGAAAGAGGAAGAGATACAGGGTAATCCAGGGAATCTCTGGTGAGGTTCAACTGATCCTGAA